CGAGCCGGCTTTCGGTAAAAAGATTTATTGAGACCCTGCAGTCACAGCGCGGAAGGAGGCGCCACAAGCCAAGGCGAAGGCGGCGGCCGCGAACCGGGAATGCGGGGAGCGAGCCCGCCCCGCGCAGCGCCCGCAGCCCGGCCCCGCCGGGGCAGCCGTAGCGCAATGAAGGCATCTAAAGTGCTCGGAGGAACATCGGCCCTGCAATGATGCTAAATGAGGGGATGCGATGGGATTCAGCAGCAGGATGCAGGAGCAGGTGCTGGCTGCTCTTCTCCAAGGTGCCCCCCGCTCACAGCCAACCCCTCGGAGCACCAGGACCGGCCCAGGAGGAAAAGCTGCCCCGTGCGCAGCCAGCACCGATCACCCTTCCTCGTCGTTGTCTGCATCGTCGTGTCTTCCCCAGGGGCGGTCGCTGCTGACTCTGCTGTTGTTCGGTGTGCTCTGCTTGTGCAGGGAGCCCTACGGAGCCTGGGCGAGGGATGGCTGGAAACATGGGGTGATCCAGCACCTAGAGCATCGCCCAGGCTCCTAGTGCATGGAGGACACCGGCAGCGTGGCCGCATGGTGGACATCCATGCAGTCACACAAGGGATGGGGGTGGCCTTGCCAGGCAAGCAGCTGGGGGAAAGGGGAGTTTCACGCACCCATGTTAAGGGATATAACAAATAAACTGCCCAGAACAACCCCCTCGCACCTGCGGGGCAGATCTGGGCAGCTCGAACTGTGTTTTGCAGCACCCCAATGCCCACCAGCAGTAAACACTCATTTCAGCCCATTTCCCAGGGCCTTCGAGAAGCAGTTCTGTAAGGACCATGGTTGAAACGTCCACCCTTACTGGTGCTAGGGTTTGAAAAGGAGATGAGGAGGAAGCGTCCTGGGGGAGGCTTGTCCCAGCTGCCCCTCACATCCGAGCCCTTGGCGCAGGCCCTTGGAGAGCAGCGCGAGTCATTTGGCCCCTGCGAGCGAGAACGGCCGCCTGGGGCTCGCGTGGGTTCAGCTCTTTCTTCCTCGCGGCTCTTTCCGCAGAGGGACCAAGCGGGGCATCCGCGCCGGCAGCGGAGATGGGGCCAGCATGGGACAACCTCGGAGATCATCCTGGGCCTGGGGCCTGGCGCATGAGACCTCTTTTCAAATGCTCCCTCCTTCCTCATTTCAATAGTTATTGCTTTTCCCTGGAATGTTTTTGTCTAAAATTCCCCTGATGGGATTAAGAAAGAATAATGGAAAACTGTTAAAAAATAACTGCCCCTTGGCCCAGGCCCCTGGGAAAGGCTGGGGGTGTGCTTGAAGGTACCTCTGTCCCAGGCAGGGGCTGCTGGTGATGGGATTTGGGATACAGTGGGATGGCGGGAAGGGGGGTTCTCTATTCACTAGGTCAAGGAGGAACTTAAAGCAGGAGGAATCAGGGAAACATCCCAGGACCGGCACCTCGACAGCCCACCAAAAGCCTCTTTCCTCTCTCCTTGACGTCAGCACCTCGTTTTGGGAGCAAGAGGAGGGCCAAGGTGGGGGCCGAGCAGAAAGGGCAGTGGGGAGAGCGGAGCAAGGGTGGGCGGCAGTGGGAATGGGGACGCGCGGCCCGGGGGGACGGGGCAGCGACAGCCCCGGCCCTCAGGGCGCCTGCAGCGAGAAGGCCAGCTTGACGCAGGCCAGCTCCTCGCCCTTGCTGCTGACGGCCACGCGGACGCGGTAGTTGCCGTTGGTCATCCAGGAGGGCAGCTCGACGTCGGGCAGCAGGAAGTCACTGGGTGGCAGCGAGTAGGAGCCCTGAGGAGGGAGGGCAGGGGAAGGCGTCAGTGATGGCCTGGGCCAAAACCCCCTGCCACCCCATACCGCCTGCATCCCCCCTGCTGAAAGGATGGCACCGAAGGGCGTTTTGGTGCCCAGAGCTGCAGACGGGACGGCAGCTCCGGCCGGTGCTGAGGGAGCGCCTGCGTGGGGGACGTAC